TGTAGGTGGTAGGTAGTAGAGTTGGGAGAGACACTGGCGGAGGCCAGTGGTACTTACCTGTGGCGCCATCGCTCCAGCTCCATCTTCGAGGTACCTGCATCAAGGCGCCAACTTCACAGGTTAGTACTGTACACAGAGAGAGAGAGAGTTCTTCTTCTTCCTCTTCTATGTCTACCATCTCTTCTCACCCTCTCGCCACCTGACTTCTCAGACTACGACAAAGAGAGAAAGAGTTGTGACTTGAGACTCCCCTTCACACCATGATGATAATGATGTATGTTCGAGGCCGCATCACAATATAGATTGTTCGGATCATTGGTATTTAAGTCTTCCGCTGTGCCATCTTATACTTTGTATTGAAAGGTCGGTTCTTGTTCTGGTCTGCACCTATACGGTATGCAACACTGAGCCCGGTTCTCAGCTTGTTTGGTTCGGTTTCTCCGGGTAGACTGTGAGGACCCCGGCCTCAATCTTCTTATTCAATTTGGTAATATCAGCCTTGGGCACTGGGCCCATTTAGTTATAAAAAAAAAGCGCTAGTACCTCCGCCAGTGTTGGGAAAACAGGGAAAAGTGGACATTTTTCCAAACCCCTAAAGTTTCGGAGGCCGGGCCGGATGACGGCTGCCATTGATAAATCTGATCGGCGGCCGTCATTTCGTTTCGGCCTCCGAAAAGGCCGGAGGCCCACCGGAGGCCCGCTACTTTCCCACGCGCCAAAGGTAATGTCCGTTTTTAACGAAATCGCTGTTTATAGACAATCTAATAGAAAGTGCAAGGTTGGCCACGTTTGTGTGGTTCAGTGCCAAGTGCCCACACACCTGTGTGTGTGTGTGTGTGTGTGTGTGTGTGTGTGTGTGTGTGTGTGAGTAGTATGTGTGTGTGTTTGAGTAGTATGTGTGTGTGTGAGAGAGAGAGAGAGAGGGCGAGAGGGGGGGTGGAGGGAGGAAGAAAAGGAGGGAGGGTGGAGGGGGTAGGTGAGACACATGTCAGATGGCGCCTGGCAGAAGTAGGAGCGAAGAGTAAATGGAAGCTACGCTTCAGCAATTGCAGGTCATATAGGTTTTCTTCCTAAGAGTCTTCGAAAAAGCCGAAAAGTTTTTTAGGGAGGGAGGAGGTGAGGCGGGTGTCAGGGGGGTGCCACGCCGGTGTCAGGGGGGTGCCACGCCGGGGTCGAGGGAGTGCGGAGGGAATGCGAAGGCAGGGCAGACATTGGATGAAGAGAGGGAGGAGAGACTGCAAAGGGAAGGAGAAGGTTGGGCAGCCAAGGCAGGGAAAAGGTTGGGCTGCGCATGGAGGGAGAAGATCGGGCAGCGGGAAGAAGAAGGTGGTTGGGACTGGGTTAGGAGAGGAATGGAGGAGGTTGGGCAGTGGAGAAGAATAATTGAACAAGAAGAAGAGGGCGAAAATCATCAGCAGAAGTATTTATGTTGTGTGCTTTTCTTTCCTCTTCCTCTTTTTCTTCTTCTTCTCTTCTGCCCAACCTCCTCCCTTTCTTTGCTGCGTTCCAGCCCCTAACTCCGCTCCGCCATCAACCTCTTGCACTCGCCACCCCCAAATTAACTCCACTCCTGCCTCCATGCCTTTCTTTCTTACCGGAATGTGTGTTGAACTTCAATGTGAGAGCAGGTTCCACGGACACGCAGGAGTCAAAACAGAGAGGCAGAGAGAGAGAGAGAGAGAGAGAGAGAGAGAGAGAGAGAGAGTTGCATACATCGAGAAAACAGAAGAAAAAAAAAAAAAGGCCACCCTATGACATTGTGAGCCGGCCACATTTCATTTGGGGGTTGACTATTTGATATTCCATCCCCCTCCTTATCAATTACCTGCCACCCTATGTCATTTGTTGGCCAACCGCATTTCATTTTGGGGTTTGATCTCTCACTCTCTCTCTCTCTCTCTCTCTCTCTCTCTCTCTCTCTCTCTCTCTCTCTCTCTCTCTCTCTCTCTCTCT